AATAAAATTTTAATTATTATTATTATTATTTATTAATTAATAAATTTATTAAACGTAAAAAAAAGTTTTTATTTTAAAAAAAGGTGAAATTATATTTAATTAAAAAAAAAAAATCCTCATTAAAAAAAAAAAAAAATTTTTTATGTACGTTGAAAAAGTTAAATAAAGTTTTATTATTATTATTATTATTATTAATTAATTAATTAAAGCAAACAAAAAGTAAAAAGCAAAGCAAATTAATTAATTATTTAAAATGATAAAAAAATAGAGCGAAATTAATTAATATTAACAAAAAAAATAAATGAATAATAATAATAATAATACGATTGAATTGAAAAAAAAAAAAATTTGACTTTTATTTTATTTTAGTAAACAATGAAATTCGTCATCATTGTTCATGCTGGTAAGAAACAAACAAACAAACAAACAAATAAATAAATTATTTATTTATGTATAATTAGAGAAAAGTTATAAAGAAAAGCTCACCGATGGAAATTTTTAGAATGTTCTATAACCGAACTAAACATTCAGACATTAGAAGGTTAACTGAACGTAAAGACGTATACAAATTTATTCCTTCATTTTTGTTCATTGCGTCAACTCGTATGAACGCTTTTCCTTTTTCTTTTTCTATATATAAAAGAAAAGAATCAACAGGCGACATAAAACAACAACAACGAAAATTTTTCTTTTTGTTTTTTTTTTTTTTTTAAATAAAAATTTTTACAAAAAAATAATTAAAACAAAAAAATAATTATTATTTTTTTTATGCGACGGTGTTTTAATAATAAAAAATTTTCATTCGAATAAAATTGTTTGAGTTATTGATAGATAATCCTTCGCAAACATAAAAAAAAAAATTAATTAAAATTTTTATTATCATTATTATTGTTAACATGTCGATAAATAAATCTTACTACAAGGACACACACACACAAACACATTATTTAAATGTAAAATTAAATAAATAAAAAAAAAAATTGCCAATTTTATAAATAACAAACAAAAGAAAAAAAAAGCACACAAAATGTTTTCTATTTATTTTTAATTTCACTCTTATTTAATAATAATAATAATGATAAATATAATAGGTTTACAAAAAAAAACCTGGAAAATTTTTTTAATTATCATACAATTAAAAAAAAAATTTACTACACGTGTAATTTATATACAGTTATATTATTAAAAAAAAAAAAAAAAAATTTTTTTTTTGCTATACAAATTTTCTCGTATGAAAAAAGCGACGTGAAAATAAATAAATAAAAATATACATAAATAAATAAGTAAATAAAATCAAATGACTATATTCGAACCATGCATTTTGAAATACAAACATTTATTTCAAATTTCAAAATAAAAAAAAAGGTTCAACGTATAAAATAATAATAATAATGATAAAACCCATAAACCAATCTTATTATAATAATAATAATAATAAAAAAGGAAAAACAAAAAAAAAATCTACGAAAACCGAAAAAAAAAAAAACAACGAAAAAAAAAATTATCAAAATACAATATAAATAAAATTAAAAACAAAATTTTTAATTAATATATAATATATATATATTATAAAATGTTTTCTCATCAGTAAAAAAAAAAAAAAAAAAAAAAAAAACTTTTATTATACTTTTCGTTAAATTTTCCGAAATAATAACGGAAATAAAAAAAAAAAAAAATTAATGTAATTTATCATTGAACACGTTCATGTCTTAACTATTTTCCTTCCTTTTTTCCTTTTTTTCCTTTTTTTCATTTTTCGGCGTCCAAAATCTCAACTTTTTTTTTCCATTTTTTAAAACAATTAAAATATTTAAACTTATAATATAAAAAAAAAAAAAAAAATTATACAATTACAACCCAAAAAAAAAAAAAAAGAAAAACGGTAAAAAAATTATAAAGAAAAACAAAAAAACACTCTGTATGAATAATAATAATAATAATAATAATGAACAAAATAAAAAATAAAAAATATAAAACCGGAAATTGTAGGGGGGGGGGCGGGGCAAAATACTGTAAACGAATAAAAAAATCTATTCTCTTTCTCGAGTTCGAATCTTCAAAACAAAAATTCGAACCTGAAATGAAGAAAATATATTCGGAGGCGACCGCAAATCATTTACAAAACGCTTTTCTGTTCGAACGTAACGACTTTTCTATTGTTTAAATTATCATTTTCCGACACGGTATAAGTCGAACATGATTCTTCATCCGAATCCCTGGGAGTCGATGTTCCGACATTTTCCAACGAATGAACGATGGACGACGTAAAACTAAATTCGTCTCCATCGTTTTTATTATCTCTGCTGCGAAACAAACAAAATTTTTTTTTTTTTTAAATAAAAATCCAAACAAATATTTTTAAACATTTTTTTTCAATCTAACTATCCACCACATAAAACCTATTAATATTATTATTATTATTTAAATCATTGAATTAGTTAAACATTTAAAATTAGAAAAATTAGTAGTAGGAAATTTCGTATTAGCAAAAAGTTAATTTATGGTTTGTAACGGACAAAAAAACATTTAACGGAAAAAAAAAAAAGAAAAAAATTTTTTTTTTTGCGAACCTAAAGAGCTTACACTTGGTGTTCAGCCAAAGACGAAAAACAAGATGCTATGACAAGAGCTAAAATATTAATTTTCTTATTAAAATTTTTAATTATATAATTTTAAATAAATAATTCGAAATAGAAAAAAAAAATGTTTATTTACCTCGTGTCGTCTGAAACCGTATTCAAGCTCATGCAACTTCCCAAATCGTTTTTATACAATTTATTTCCTTCGATCAAGAGTAAATTAACATGAGTTGATGAATTTGCTTTAACGAATATCGAACATGGCGATTTACTTTCACCTAAAAATAATTTTAAAAAAAAATTTTATTTATACAAGTTATTTCTTAAGTAAAATATTGTGTAATGTTTAAAATAATAATAATAATAACCCAAATATTGAGGAGAAGAAAGATTTATTTGAGCGGAATCGTTGATTGTAGCCGTTGACGAAGTGCAAATGCTATCATCTGATGATTTCGAATCCAGAAAAGGCACTCGAATGACTTCCACGGACGCCAAATGTATCACAAAAAGGTAAGGCTTTGAATATGCTGAAAAAATAAAAAATTTAATATTAGAAAAATTAAAAAACGGTAATAATAAAGGTAAATTTTGAACTTTGAACTTTTACCAAAATCACAAGGAACTTTACTCCATTTCAAATCGCATTGTGTTTTTCTTCCTTCTTCATCTACGAAAACTCCAAATTCGTTAAAACATAAAAGAAATTCCGATTTCGAAATGCGAAATATTTCCATTGGAAAACTTCCTATTTTCCAAAATGCTAATGATTTTACCGACGGATCCAAAAATTCTAAAAAATAAAATTAATTTTTTTTTTTTTTTTTTGCTCGAATGACTTGAATAAAAAAAAAAAAAGGAAATCTATGATGATGGAATACCTGTCGCTGAAAAATCATTCAAATCGATTTTAAAAAATTTATCGCATCCGACAATGACCGAATGTTTTAAATATAAAACGCAATTGCACGGATGCAACGTTTCGAGAACTTTCGCTTTGTAAAATTCGCTCGTCTTGTAGCACCATTTTAAAATGCTGAAATTTTATTATTATTATTTTTTTTTAATATTGTATTTTACATTCGGACATAATTTGAATTTTCAACGTACGTCAATTTACTTACAAAAGTTTGTTGTGTGTTGCAACGGTAACAAAAACTTCTTTGTCTGCGTTCGGTGGCGATATGGCAAACATTATACAACTTTCTTTTTCCAAATTCTTTTCTATCGGGCGAACGCTTATGCTGGGATTAGAACAAGCTGCTGCTTCTGCATTGCTAATCAAAGCTCGATGATCGCACATGACCAATCTTCTTTCTTTTTCAACAATCATGAGATCAACGCCTATTTGCGGTGCAAGAGCCATTTGAAAAACTTTAGATATTCCTTCTATTTTGACGGGTTGAGCGTTGGGAGTTGAGAGTTTGAAGGAAAATAAACCTTCTTCTGTTCCCAAAAGAGATAACTGTCAAAAAAAAAAAAAATCATTAATAAAAAATAATAAATTATAACAAACGCAATTAAAATTTAATTTTGATTAATTACCTTTTCGCTGATTTGAATTACACAATTAACATTCAAAATCGAGTCTTTCGGAAAAGAATAAACGACGGAACCCGCGTATTTTCGATTTTCATCGACTTTTGAATTTATAACCGCACTGTTTAATGCCGATAACCATTTTGTCTTGTCGGAAGAAGATAATATCATCAAGTAATTTATTTGTTCGGGCCAACAAGTCGTTTCCGGAACGCACGCAATCTATTTAAAAAAAAAAAATTTGATTAAATGCAAATTTTACCATTGAAATAATTTAACATTTCTTATCAGTTTATACCTTTATAATAAAAGGTAAGTTAGCTGAAGCCGTATTGGGTAGTTCTTTGGGGTCAACGCTCTCTCCAACGATAACCTGTCCATTATCGGGACAAAGATTAAACGAATTTAAAGGAACAACAGTTGAATCTACCGGTTTTTCGTCAAATATTAAAACTTTATTTTCTTCGAGTTTAGCATATTTTTTTTCCCAATTTGTTTTAGTCGTGCTAAAAATTAGAAAAAATTTTGAGTTTAAAATTTTCTATTAAAAAAAAAAAAAAAAAAATAAAACCAACTGACTAACTTTAAAATTTTAATCCATCCTTCTAATTTTTCTAGACTTTGACAATTTGCATTTTCCATTTTAAATGTTACGTCATCCGAATTAGTCTTGACTACGGATTTTGCATAGTGCTTTACAAGTCCTTGAGGTAACCCGCATGTTTTAGGAGCAATCATGGCACATTTTGTGTGCGTAACGAATTTGCATTGAGTACATATCGAACATTGACCGTTACGACTTAATTGCAAATTACACACATTACAGGTACCACTTTTGATTTTTGTCTGACTTTTAAACCTGAAAAATTAACACAATTTTTCTAATAAAAACCTCCACAAAACTAGTTTACAATAAAAAAAAAAGGTACGATTCGGATACCTGTGAGGTATATTGTGATGCATTCTTTGCAACGAAGCTTGCCTTTGAAAATATGATTGACTTGTTGGAGATTTGACAATTTGATTTAAGGCTTCTTTTGTGCTTGGAGAATTTAACAAATTTCTCGGTGACTGCAAAAAAAAAAAAAAAAAAAATTATTTTTTTAATTAAAAAATAAATATTTAGATAATAAATACGGATTACGTTTGACCCTTACCTTGTTCTTCATTAAAACGTTCGCCACGTTTTTATTAGACGGAGGAGAATTAAAAGGAATTAAATTTTCCTTATTTCGAGTTCCGAAAAGAACGTCAGTTAAGGACTGAAATAAAAAAAAAAATTTCATCATGATAAAAAATAATCGTAAAATTATTTCAAATTAAAATTTAATTATTTTTCTCCCAACCTTCTTCTTTTTCGTATCGTCTAATTTCTCCTGTAGGAAAGCAATTAATTTATTTTGTTGTTGTTTTGTAGCTTCATCTTTAACTTCTCTTTGCTTGTGAAAATGTTCCAATTCGGTTACGACGCTTTGTAACTCGGTTATTCTGCAATAAAAAAGTTATTAAAAAAATAAATGTCGTCCAATCGATGACGTAGGAAATGCATAATTAAAAAAAAGAATACCTTTCTTGTAACCTTTCCACCATGGTATGTTCTTCCTCCAGATCTTGAGTTAATTTGTAATTAGATTCTCTTAAAGAATATAAATTTGTTAAATAAGTCGACGCTTCTTTTTTCATCCATTGACATTCGTTTTCCAATGCATCGTACATTTGCCTTCCTTCCTTTAATTCCATTTCGTAGGTAAGACACTTATTTTCGTATTCGTTTAACTACAAATTTAAACGATTGATAAAAATTTTTGTGTGACTAATAAAAAAAAAAAAAATAAATAAATAAATAAATACCTGTGATTTCAAATTTTCGATCGTTACATTACAATTATGTATATCCTTTTGCAATTGTGTTATTGAATCCTTTTTACTTTCGATTTCACTTTCTAAAAACGCCACCTTTTGTTCCGCACGAATTTTAAATGATTTTTCTTCATTTAAATTTTGTCGACACACTCTTAATTCGTTTTGAATTTTTTCTAAATTTTTTTCCAAGGAAGACCTAATATAAATTATTTATTATTAAAATTTTTTTCCAATTAAAAATTTAGAGAATAATAAAATAAGAAATGAAAAAATTTAAATTTACTTTTCCTCCGTTAATTTTTCAATTTTTTCAGCTTGACTGGATGTAAATTTGTCGTAATCTTCCAGTTGTTCGTCGAGCATGGCTCCGGTTTCTTTTAAAACGGCATTATTTACTTCCAAACTGGAAATTTTTTGCTTTAATTCTTCTATTGTTTTTTCCATTTCCGATTTTTTCTTATCTATGGATTCATAATTTATTTTTTCTTTTTCTTTTTCATTTTGTAATTTATCTATTTCTTTTTCCAACATTTTACATTTTTGCGTCGCTTCGATGAGATCTCTTTTTAACTGCTTTTCAATTTTTTTCAATTCTTCAAGTTCTTCCAATTGATTTTTAAGCATTTTAATTTCGGAATCCCTTTGACTCAATTCAACTTTGACATGATTTTTTTCCAAAATTAACTTATCTAATTTTTCACGTTCGGCTGATACACTTTTCTGACTTTTTTCTTCGGCTGCACTTAATTTCTCCGTAAGATTTTTTATTTCCTCTTGAAGACGCGTCACCGTATCTTCGGCAGTTTTAGCTTCTCGTTTTGCTATTCGAATATCTATTTTTGCATCAGAAAGTTCTTTTTCCGTCTGTAATTTTGTTTTCAAAATAAAATCGAATGAAATATCAAATTTAATAAAAAAAGATAAATTAATTTTAATAATTTATAAATAATTAGAAAAAAACATACTTTCCAAAGAGCTGCTTGAGTAGTTCTCAATGATTCCTTATCCAAAACAGACGACTCTCTTAATTTTTGAACTTGATTTTCCAATTTAGCAATTTGATCTTCTAATAACGTAATTTTCTCACGATAACGTGTTTCAGCTTCAGAAGTTAACTATTGTAAATAAAAAAAATGAATTAATTTTTATTTAACGACTTTTAAATTAAATAATTTTTCCCTAAATTTTAATGTATTAATTCCACAACAGATATTTCTAGTAAAAAAACAAAAAAAAGTAAGAAAACTTATTTACATTTTAAAATGAATTTTTTGATGCAAAACTTAAGAAACAAAGTCAGATAAAAAACACGTTGAAACATGCCGTATTGTATTTACTGAATGAAAACTTTTAACAATAGTAATAACAAGTTCATTTTAATTTTACAGTTTTACCGCCCGAAAAATGCTATGCTGAATAAATTTCTAGAAATTTTAACTTGTGATAATAAATTTAAAATTATAAAGTAATTAGTTAGTATTGATTTTAATTTTTCTTTGCATTAGAGTAAAATTTAAAATTCTATTGCGGCACGTTCAGTCAATTTTCTTATAATTAAATTTTATTCTTTCCCTATATAACTTTAACAAATAGTAAAGAAAAGTAATTTAAAAAGAAAATTTTTAACTTACCGGTTGAGCATGTGCAATCACATCTTTTTTTAACTGCGCATTTTCCGCTTCCAATTTGATAACACCCTGCTCCAAACGATCAACGACAACCTCCAAATGACTTAACTTTTGCCTATTTTCATCTTCGACTTCTTTTGTTTTCTGTGGGTTAAAATCGGAAACAAGTTGTTTTATTTAAAAGTCCATAATAATAATAATAATAAGATTTAATTAATAATTAAACCAATATACCTGCAATTTCCTTTGCAATTTTATTTTTTCTTCCGAAGCTTCACGCAATTCTTTTTCTAAAGCTTTCATTGTTTCTTCATGTGCAGCTAAAATGGATTTATGTTCGGAAAGAGAGCACGTAGAATTATTCAATTCCTAAAATTCAATAAATAAACTATAAAATAACTTATAAAAATAAATAATAATTAATTTTATGGTGAAACCCTTACAATAATTTGGTCGCGTAATTTGATGCATTCATTTCTCTCCAATAGTAATTTTTCTTCCAAAATCGCGATATTTGACTTTTCGCTTAATTTAATTTCAAACGTAGCTATTTCCGATTGTTGAGATTTAATTTTTAATTCGAGTTTTTTAATTTTTTCTTCGTTATCAGCTATTTCTTGTTTTAACTATAAAAATAAAAAATAAAAAGTAAAATTTCTATTTTTGACGGTTGCATAAAAATGTTCGCGCAAAATTATTTTTTACTTTGGATTCTTGACTGGCCCATGAACATTCAATTTCTTTTAATTTTTGTTCGAGTTTAGTTTTAATGGCAACTTCATCACTTAATTTTTGTTGTAAAATACTTGATTGCAACTGATTATCTTGAGCCATTTTTTCCAATCGTGTTTCTATTCCAACGACACTTTTTCTTTTAAATTCCCTCGCCTTAAAAAAAAAAAAAAAAAAAAAAAAAAATTTAAAGTTTTTCCTCGAACTTATAATTTTACATTTTATAAATTAATTAATAAAATTAAAAACCTCCGCCATTTTATTTTTAAATTCAGTTTCTAAATTTTTCAGTCTTTCGATTTCTTTATTAGCAGTGTGAAGATCAGATTTAACACGATCGAGATTATTAATTAATTCATTATTTATAGTGTGAGCTTCTGTGAGTTTATCATTAACCTCCTCGATTTCTGCATTCAATTGCTTGATTTGATTACCAAAGTTTTTCTCAATTTTTATTTTAGTTTCACTAATGAGTTTTAGCGCGTTTGCTTCCATTTCTCTCCGATCCTCTCTTTCCATTTCCAAAATTTTTTGTATGTTCTGTAGAAACAAAAATAAATTTAGATTTTAAATTTCAAAAAAAATTATTGAGTAAAAATTTTTTTACGTAAAATATCACAAACATTTTTTTCAGCCAAACATTTAGCTAATTCCCTTTGCAATTTATTTCTGTCTTTTTCACAAATTTCCAAAAGTCTTTTTTTTTCTTCAAATTTTTTTTCCATATTTTCCAATTCTTCATTTTTACCAAATTGTGATTCAATCAGTTTTGAAACAACATTTTTATTTTCTTTTTTTGAAAACATTGATTCAAAATTTGGACCCTTTTTTTCTTTATAATTTATATCTTCGGAATCGGTTAATTTTCTGAAAGACAAAGTTCACATTAGAAAAAAAAAAAAAATAAATTGAAAAAGAAAAAAAAAAAAACTTACTTTTCACAAATATCCGGAACATGGCTAAAAGTAAAACCAATAAAAGGCAATTGCTTCCCGGAAAAATTCATTCTGCAATTTTTCATTTCGATTTTAGGTGCAGATTTTTTTCGAACGATATCAATAAAATTAGAAACATCGTCAGGAGAATTAGATGAAGGAACAAAAGGAGGAACTTCTAAATATTGAAAAAAACAAAAAAAAATAAATAATGATTTGTAAAGTTTTAATTTAGATTGAATTTTTTTTTGTGAAAATAATTACCGTTTCTTATGTTATTCCAGTTGGTATCGTGAAAAAAAGGATGTTTTACAATGCCATCGTGTTTCAAACGAATACTCGAGTCTTCCAAAAGTTTTGAAATAAGATCTTGTAATGATTCTGGAATTGATCTATCTTCGGGATATTTAAATTTTTTTTTGTGATTCATAATATTAAAATAAGTGGCTTTAATTTGTGATCCAGAAAATGGTGTCCTTCCAACAACCAATTCATATGCAAGAATCCCAAGTGACCAATAATCACATTCCATCTATTATTAAAAAACCAAAATGAAATGTAAAATCTTTATAATGTCGTAATTAAAAAAGAATAAAAAAAAAGGTACTTACTCCATAATATTGCTTTTTGATTTTATCTTCATAGCCATGACCTAAGGACAACAAGATTTCTGGAGCTATGTATTCTGGTGTTCCTACTGGCATCATTTGAGTGACTAAACCACCAGAATTTAATTTTGCAGCAGATCCAAAATCTGCTAATTTAACATGCCCACATCGATCTAATAAAATATTATCTGGTTTTATATCTCGATGAACATACCCCATTTGATGTAATGCCCTAATAGCTAAAGCTGTTTCAGCCAAATAAAACCTAAGGAAAATAAAAACGATAATTTTTTTAAAAAAGCGATTATATATACATATATGTAATTATACCGAAAAATTGCAAAAATAAGCATAAAAGATTAACTCAACAGAAAAAATTAAAAAATTTTTATATTTCTCTCACTTGGCCATTTCTGGTGTTAAAATTCCTTCGTGTCTATCTAAAAGAGACAATAGATCTCCTCCAGAATGGTATTCCATAATATAATACAAATTTTCATTGTCTTGAAAAGAATACTGTAAAGTCGTTAGCCAATGTGAAGTGGCAGTACACATTATGTCTCTCTCTTCTTCAAACAGAACTGACTAAAAATTTAATTAATTTATTGATATAAATTTAAAAAAAAAAAGAAATTTTTTAAAAAAAATTAAGTAAATCGCCTACACAAATTTTTCCAGGCATTTCAAATTTTTTGATAATTTTCATAGCGTATATGTCATTTGTTTGTTTTTCTCTTACAACTCTAACTTCACCAAAGTGACCCTGTCCTATAATACTTTTTAATTCAAAATCATTTAAATTAACTCTTAAAGTCTTAACTTCTGTCAACAATGATCTGTCTGAAAGTTAAAAAAAAAAAATTAATTATTTATAATATTAATTATTTAACTAAAGAAAAAACTTTAATTTCAGTTTTTATTTTAGATAAAAATACCTAATACAATATGTATCAATGCCATAATTTTGAAAAAAAAATACAAAATTAAAAATTCAAAAGAAGTACAAAAATAATTTCTTTGTTGGAATAAAGATGTGTAATGTTTCAAAATTATGTTAAACAAAAGATAAAAAAAAAACTATATTTATTAAATATCCTTACATTTATTAATGAAATTAGTCATGTACATATCTTTTCTTAATGTATCTTTAGTACATTCATCATATAATAAAATAAAAGCATCGAGCAGAGCATCTTGTGACATTCTCATCCTCGTTGTTCTCTGCATTGGCCCTGATCGAGTTAAAACCGAATTAAAAAGTCTGCCATTACGCAGAGATATTGGTTCTTTACTAGTATTCATGATTATATCACAAATTAAAAAATAAAACTTATTGACAAACTGCTTAAGCACATAAGAAAAACATTTTTAGCGCAAACCGATGAGACGCTACTTTTTAACGGATTTACAGTGTTGCCAAATCAGGAAACGTCAAAATCTGACGACACGTTTTTTTTTTTCGTGGCTCGAAGCTAATCGACGTAATCATTGTTTGTTTACAAACATGAACTATATTTGTTTCGTGTTAAGGATTTATTTACATTATTCTAAACTTTATTAACATTTTTATGACTTTTTGTAATTAAAAAAAAGTACAGCTACAATCTTAATTAAAAAAAAAAAAATTATATTTTTGTAACAGATATAAAAAAAATATAAATCATCATATAGGATCCAAAAATAAATCGAAAATTTTTACAATATGATCAGAGCCACAAGATGCCAGCTGAAGTACATTTTTATCACTATCCGATTTTTTGTCACCAGTTCTACCCACTTTCGGACGAAAAACTAATCTTTTAACTGCTAAATCATGTCCTAAATTCCCTTGAAATATAATGTTCAGATTTTCTAAAATAGAATCTAAATATCGGTACAATAAAATGATTCCCTTTTCTAAACCGATGGCTAAAATATGAAAACCATTTTTTAAAATAGGAGCAAACGCCAGTGCAGTTACACATTCTTTTGATAACTCTAAATTTGCAACGCTAGTAACGGTAACATTTAAACCATCATCTGATTTAATTGGCGTCCATATTCCAATTTTCCCATCTCTAGATCCCGTTGCAAACCTCAAAGAATCTATCGTCCATGCACAGCACCAAATCACTCTAGAATGTAAATTGTTTTTAACATCAGATGCAGCTAATAATTCATATGTTTTACCATCTTCTTTAACCCCAAATAAGCACCATCTTCTATCTCTAGATACTGATAATAATTGTTTTCCATCAGGGGAAAAACTCATTTGAGTTACAGTCAATTGGTGTGCAATTAATTTTTGAATTTGAAGCCAGGTTTTAGCATTCCTATAAGCAAAACATAAATTTTTTTTTACTCTTGCCGATGTAGATAAAATCATTATTAAAAATAATATTTTTAAATACCACAAAATTATAGCAGCATGTTCTGGAGTAGTTGCTTTACATGAGGAAGCCAAAACGATGCCATCTTTTCTAGTAGCTAAGCTGTAAATTTCATATCCATGTCCGTAAAGTTTTTGAGCTTCGGGCCAAAGTGTATTTTGCATTAAATTTTCTTCTGTAGGAGGTTCTGTAAAATATATTGAATTAATTTTTTTTTTTTTTACTCAAATGCAACTTGTTTAATTTAATTTAATAAATTTACAACATACTATTTAAATGTATTGGAGAGAAATATAAATCGGGATATTCATCGTCAACTAAAAATCCTTCTTTTTTCATTTGCTCAAAAACTGGTTTGTTAGAGAGACCAAGAGCAGGAACAGCAGCTCCTTGTGGAATTCCTTCAGCCTGATTAATGGTAAAAAAAAAAGTAGCTAGCATTAAAAAAAGAATACTCCACCAAATGTGTTTTATTAAATTTTACCAACTAACTTTTATTTCATTCGTATCCATTTGCACATCACAAATTCTTTTAAAATTTTCAATAAAATTATTTGGTGCAGTAAATGCTCGTATAACTTTTTCTTCAGCTCCCGATACAAATTTATATTCGGATAACATCGCAAGGCAGAACAAATCATATCCGTGTATTTGAGGTCTGGCAATTTCGTGCCAGGTGATCTCAACAAAAAAAAAAAAAAAAGATGTAATTATAAAATTTTTCAGAGAATTTTAAAATTCTTAAAACGATCATACTTACTTCTTTACTATGACTTCTAACCCAAGGTGCATGTAACCTCGTCGTTTGATCATTTCCTACAGTTAAAATATAATTACCCTTAACGTCCCAAGCTAAATCGGAGACTTCAGATGTATGACCACCAACAACAACTTTTGGTTCCCAATTATTGGATTCCTGTTATACAAAAAAATTTGTCGAACATTTATTTAATTGAGCAAACCTATTATTAAAATGTATAAATATTATTTTCATTTCATTTTAAAATCAACAATAATCTAATATAAAACATAAAGACCAGAAAAAATAATTATTACCGAGTTATAAGACCAAATGTGAAAAGAACCTTGATAGCCATGCCCCAGAATAGATTTACCATTTGGACCAAACTTGCCTCCATAAAATCCCAGCATATTTCCTCCTACTTCACCGACTCTAACTTCTTCAGCCCAAAGTCCTGATTCATTAGGTGCCCAAATAATTAATGTTTTATCCATAGAAGATGATAACAATTTTAAATTTTTATTTTTTGGAATTCCTGCATTAAAAATAAAATTAACAAACAGTTAGTTCATTTGAAAATAAATATAATTAAATTTATTATAAATTTACTTTACCCGTTATTTCTGCCCTTTCATTACGTGAAATTTCTTGAGAAAGATTGGAATAATTTTCAGGACTCCAAGACACCCCATAAACCCAACTTTCATGACCGGCTAAAATAGTTTCAAGAATAACGGCAAAATAATGTTCATTAAATGTTGAACCCACTTTTATAAATTTAGCTTCCAATTCTAACATTTTCATACAAGATTCTGGATCATTAGCAATTGAATTTTTATTTCATTTCTTTTTCAAATTTGTAGACCCTAATATAAGTATCTTGGGAACCTGTTGCTAAATACAAATCTTGTCTGAAACATATTACATAAAAATTTTTCAATAAAAAAAAATTTATGTTACAAAATTTATCTAAGGAGTAAAATTTGAAATATTTAAAATGAAAATGATTTTAAGACATACCACTACAAAAAAAATCCATAGATCTCACCCAATCATCATGACCTGATAGAATATGAATTTTATAAAATCTTTGCTCAGTGTCCGTTTGATCAGTTTCCGATTTTTTATATTCACCAAATAAGTGAACTTTATTATCATCAGCTGAACAAGCCAAAAGCAAAACATCAGTATTTGGTAACATGGTTAATTTAATATCTATACAAAATCCTGAAGCCCATTTGATGGTGTCCACACATTTTACTTCTGAAATCCAATTAAAACTTTAATTTTTGAATTATATAAAGGTACATTTACTTTAAAAATTTTACTACCTTCATTTAATGTTTCCCAAATCATTACTTTAGAATCAATCGAAGATGTAGCCACGATACAGGAGGGATTAGAAGTTCCATTATTTAATTTTCTAATGAAGCCATCGGCAACATTTACTATGTTCGTATGCCCCTTTAAACAATATTTTTGTTCACAAGTTTGATGTTTACCAGACCAAGACCAAATAATTGCTGTACTATCAGCTGATGCAGATACAAATAAATCTTCACAAGTTTGAAAATTACTTTTAATCCAACGAACCGAATTAACTCTTTCTTTATGTCCATGTAAGGTGTGTAAAATTTTGCCTCCTTCCCCGCCAACCTGAAAATAAAATTTTTTATTAATTAATTTTATTACACAATATTGCTTTCATTAATGGATAATAAGAAAATAAATATTTCTCAACATGTAATAATTACAAACCAAAAGCACATTTTAAAAAAAAAACTACACAACATTATGACATAAATACGTGACATAATGAATTTTTTAATACAAAAAAGGGAAAATATATACATATATTAAAAATATCATAACCGAATAAGGTTAAAAAAAATACTAACGGTAGGGTCATAAATAATAACTGAATTACATGATCCAAAGCAAATTAAACCATTTTGACCCCAGTCAGCAGCATGGGGAACTTTATTACAGCCGCAAGATACATAAGCAGTTTCAAACTTAAAAGTCATGACTTAAATTTTTCATAAAAATAAGAATACAAATAACCCATCCTTATAGGTCACCGCCTTTTAAATGAGCCGCCATTTTTAAATCAATTTCTAACCATTAATATTTCCGTTCGGGAAAAAGCGGTTGTTGTATGATTTCAAAAAGAAATCTTCTAAAATCATATTTTCCGAGTGATGCATTTAAGCTTAAATAAAAAATTTCATTTAAAATTAAATTATCACATAATTTAATTCGAATATGAAAAAGATTAACATTTTAAAAATTATCAAAATCTTAATTTATTTGTAAAAAAAAAAAAATTTTCCTCGCCATTGGAAAAGATTAAATACAAGGTAAAAAGTATATTTATTATTACAATAAACATAATTTTATTTAAAAAAAAAAAAAAAAGCATAATAATAATTTGTTTTTATCAGATATCCTGTACAGACATCGCTGAATGTTTTCCTTTGAAAAATATTAATGATAAAAATATTATTAAAAATGGTCACCAATAGAATAGAGTATATTTGATGATGCTGAAACGTTGTGAAACCTTTCGTGTTCAAACTGGAGAGCCTGCGAAAAATAGTCAGAGTCAATTTTGGAGGCGTGGTGGTTGGTTTCTTTTCGTGCAAAATTCGTTTTTCTTTTCCTTTTTTAAAAACAAAAAAACAAAAAAAAAAAAAACGAAAATTCTTCTCAATATCTATCTGTAGTTCGGTATATAAAAAAAAAATTTTTTTTTAAATATAAACGATACGTCGACGTATTATTTTAATTAAATCGAAATAAAATTTAAAAAAATGTCGATTTCTTATTAAAAAAAAAAAAAAAAAAAAAAAAGTGTGTTCAATTTATTTTTCTTCTGATTTTATCGGTGAAAATGAATTAGATTGGATTGTATTCGGAAATTTTTTTTTTTTTTTTTCCTCGTTGTCCTGCGCTGTTGTAAATTGGCAACACTGGAAATTCTGCTGAATCCACTGCCCTTGGAAATTTTAGCTGGAGTATTTGTGTACCGCCTGAAATCGTATGATATTTTTATTTTAAAAGTGTTAAAACCGCGGCGGGCGTGGGGCCTGAATTTTTTTTTTTTTAATTTTTTTTGTACTTTTTTTTTTTGTTTTGTTTAATTTTTCCCATTTTGTTTTAATATATATTTTGGGAATGAAAAAAAAGAAAAAAAATTTCTTTTTATAGCGGTTATTAATAATTAATTATAATAATAAAGAAAGAAAGGGAAAATTATGTTAAAAATAAATTCGTGAAAACTCATCATCATCGCATGGAATAAAAATATTATTATTTAATTATTATTATTATTTAATGTTGAGAAGAACGGTTTCTATATTGAACGATGGCTGTGAAAAATGAAGTTAAGACGTGAACAATGTTTTGGGTCGAGTTTGGGCTGTTCCTCATGCTCTTCTGGTTGGTTGCATCTTGGTCGATTCCTGCCACCACCGTCAAACGAGGTATGTAAACAATTATTATTATTATTACTTATTCGTTTACTCCCTACCTCCCCCCCACACACACTCCCCTACACCCCCACGCACTCACACCCCCCCCTACCAAACCGATTAACTCCATCATCAAGAAAAATTTTGATGATATCTTAGTCTTCTCCTATAGTCGTTAAAATAAGGTTTATTATGAAAAGCACTTTATTCCCCCCCCCCCCCCGCAAAAAAAAAAAAATCTTTTTTTTTTTTTTTTTTTTTTTTTACTTAAACCGGGGGTGTGTGTGTTGATAAATTACTTTTTGATGTTAAAAAAAAAAAATTTTAAATGGCTTTTTTTTTTACAAAAAAAAAAAAAAAGTTTAATTTGTTTTTACGTCAACGACAGACGAAAAAACCTTCTTTTGTTTTTAAAATTAACGTTACTGCCATTTTTTTTAAAAATTAAAATTTCTCTTAACGAATACCTTTTCTATAATCTTCTTAAGTAAGACAAACAAACAAACAAACAAACACGTATTTATTTATTTAACTTGAAACAATAAAAAAAAAAAAAAAAAAAACAAACGATTACGTCGTCATCGTCGTCGTCGTCGATAAAATTATTATTATTATTATTATTATTTAATATATCGAAAAGGAAGAAAAAAGTTACGAAAAAGAAAAAGAAAGAGACGAAAAATTTATTTTTATTTATTTATTTATTAATATATATTATAAATAAATTTAAAACGTCGAATTATTTAAATAAATAAAAAAGAAAAAGGAAAAAGAAAAACCATTTGTTAAAAAAAGAAAATCTTGAAAAGAGAAATTTATTTTTATACTTTTTACTTTGATATAATAAATGTCGTGGGAGAAGACTAAGAAATCAGTCAAATGTTTAACAGAGGATAAAACACGACACAAACACACACACACACGCACACACGCACACCTACACGTATGTTTTATATATATATAAAATGAAAGAAGAAACAATTTTAAGAAAAAAAAAAAAAAAAAAAAAAAAAAAAAAAAAACAAATCGAAATTTTTCCCAAAGGCTCGAAAAGGTTTTTTTTTCCTTTTTCTTCCTTTTTTTACGACCTTTGAGCAAAACCTCCAATTTTTTTTTTTTTCTTCTGTCGTCATATATATATTTTATAAATTATCAAGTATTTCTCATCTAGTGAGAGAAAGATAGAGAAAGAGACTTATTATTATAGTTAACACGTCGCAAATGAAATCTTTATCATCGTCATTATTATTATTATTATTATTATTATTATCAATCATTTAATTTACCTAAAATAAATGTAGGAAAACTCTTCATGTTTCGTTTTTTTTTTTTTTTTTAGTTGTCGTACTCCCACGCATCTTGAAAACCTTAAAAAAAAAAAAGGTTGGGTTTTTCGTCGTTAAAATTATTTAAAGGGCCTAAAAAAAAAAAAAAAAAATTTTCAAAACCCCTTTTTTGCCGGGACAAGTTTCGAAAACGTTTTAATGGTTTTTTTTTTTTTTTAAAACGAGGTAATTTTAAGCTTTTTTTTACTCACAACCTTCCACCTTAAAAATTTTTTACCCTAAAGAAGAAGAAGAAGAAAAAGGAAAAGGAAGGAAGGAAAAAAAAGGTTTTTAAAAATGTGAGTTCGTGATTTTTTTTTTTAAGTGTGCGTGAATTTAAAATTTTTTTTTTTTTTTTAAATCAAAAAAATAATTTTTATTTAATTAATTGTAATAACAACAACAACAACAACAACAATAAACTTTTGTTTGTTTGTTTGTAAAAAAAAAAAAGAAAACCACGAAACGTTGTGTATATAATTGTTGTTTTTCGCAATCAATATTCTCAACTCGTTTTTTTAGAGAGTGAGAAAGAGAGAGAAAGAGAGAGAGAGAGAGAGAGAGAGAGAGAGAGAGAGAGGGAGAGGAAAATCCAAAAGATTAAAATTGGTTGAATTCAATTTTACCAAAATCACAATTAAACTCAATCAATAACATTATTAAATCCAAAACTATAATTATATGTAATTTAAAATTTTTTTTTTGTCGTTGTTTGTTGTTTGTTGCGGTTGTTGTTTATCGCGGGGAGGGGGACCGGACGTTATCGTAATAAATATTTTTCCGACTTTTCTTCGTATTTACTACACACACACAAAAATTTATTTAATTAATTTGCGTCGTCTTATTTATTAAAATGTTTTTATTCGATAATAATAATAATAATGATAAATATCGAAATTTTTTTGCTTAATTTTCAAATAAAAATAAAATTTATGCCGTAAAAATAATAATAATAATGATAGTAAAAATAAAATAACCGGAAACGTCGATATAAACTTTTAGCGTGTAAAAACTTGAACTAAATTATTATCGTTATCATCATCTATATTTTTTTTCCGTCTCTATTTATTTATTCATTTAAAAAAAAAAAAAAATTGTAAATTTATTATGATAACTATTACTACTACTATTACAACTACGAATTTCCTCCCCCCCACCCCCCAAAAAAAAGAGGAAAAAAATGTTTTAAATTTATATTAAAACGTATAAAATATTTTTCACCGAAAACGGATATTAATCTATATATAGATTATGAATTATAAATCAACGTAAATGCTACTGCTACTACTCCGTCTCTCTCTCTCTCTCTTTTTCTATCTATTTCTCTCTTTCTCTCTCTCTCTCTCTCTTAAACTATTCTTTTATAAATTAAAACCAGGTAATTTATTAAAAAGGTTTTTATGTGAATAATACGCGACCGAACAAAACATTTAATATTTTCTATATAATAGTTTTTCTTTTTTTTTTTTTTTTCCTCAATCCCTCTCTCTCTCTCTCTTTTTCTCTCTCTCTTACCTATTCCATCTCGTTCTTTTTTTCCTTCATCCATTCAAAAAATTTATACAAAAAAAAAAAAAAAAAAAATTGAAAAATTAAAAAATTAAAACAGGAAATTAAATGATTTTTATTTTAAATCTTTTTTTTTTTTTTTTTATTACGATCGTGATTATCATCATCAATACGAGGTTACAATTATTATTATCATCATCATCATCATCGTTGTTTAATTTTCTAAAAACGTTCGGATATACGTATATAGGAAATGATGATTCGTAATTAATTGATTAATTAATTATTTATTATTTATCGATTTGATATAAGTAATTTATTGATATTTTAATTTAGTAAAATGGAATAATAAGGGATTTATCAATGATGATTTACGTTTAAGTTTTTTTATCTATTATCGGTTACGTGTAATTTTGTATTTCGCTTATGTAAAATATTTTATCGATTTTTATTTTTTGGAAAGGAAAATTTTTTAATTTTCGTCATCGTTTAAAAAAAATTTAAATTGATAAAAAAAAATTTCATTTTTTTCTCCCCTTTAAAAAAAAAAAGAGAAAAAATTTTTTTTCCAGTGTTTGACGACGGCGCCCCGTTTTAAAAACGCATGCCCCGACCGAATTTCGAGCTGGATATTGTGAAAAATTTTCCTTCCTTGCTCCAAATCGAAAATTCTCGTCGTTCTCCTCGTTTAAGTCGTCGTCGTCGACGACGACGACAACG